GATATTAATCAACACTATCCAGTGCAGAGATGTTTCACCTTTGTTAATACGTTGCATACAGTACGTTGTGCATATGTTGCATACCATACGTTGCATATCAGTTGCACTTTTGCTCATACTTTTATTCATTAACCCTTTTTCGCCCAGGAGTGACCAAGACAGAATTTCTCCTTGCAATATCATTGCAACATCAAGCTGATAAGCGATAAGAATAATGAAAAAACATCAATCATTAGATTATTAGTAAATTCAATATCAAATTCTCTGAACCAACATCAAAAGAATTGAATGGTAGACAGTGTGAAGAATTGCTAATGAGATCTTGGGTATGAAAGGGACAAAGCTGAAATAACTGATATGAGCTGTTGGTGTCAATTTTGTAAATAAATAAAATATCAGACTATGCTGATAAAAAAATATTTGTCATGAATACAATTATATTTATTGTAATTGCAATAATGATAATAATAATAATAATAATAATAATAATAATGTTGTAGTAGTAGCAAGTATGATAAAAAAGTTGTCTATTTCTTACAATTATAATAACAATAATGATTATTATCTATTTTACATGATTTCCAATCCAGATACTACCAGAAAATACCACCAAGCCTTTTAACTGACAAAAACATGTGACAGTCAAGAATTCTGATTAAAAAGATGTAGAACTGCTATAATACACTCCCATAAGTACCTATAAATCTTTCAAAACTACAAATTGCACCCATAAAATTTGTTGTCTTTGAAAACTTTACTCTTTCTTATTTACACCTAATTGCACTTGAAATCATGTTATAACCTTTACCAATCCCTTTAGATCCCATTTTTAAAGTCAATTTTTCAACCATGAATCTTCCAATTTTTAAGTACCTGCCTATTAGAATTCTCTTTCCCCCTAAATCCTAAAAATATGCTAATTAATCTATTCCAATTAATTAAGTCATGAAAATTAGTCCCTGTTCTGCAGCACATCCCTTTGTTAGACTTTTTCTAAGAATTCCCCCCCCCCACACCCCCCAGGTCTGACTAATTATGGCATGAGGTTCCAATTTTGGTTTTTCAGGTTTTTCAATCTGGTAACTTGTAGGCAAGTTTGCTTATATAACTATATGTTTTATCTTGCTTATAAATACACATTAAAACTTCATGAAAGTTTTTCAATGGCTTTTTGTAACCAAATGGTTGCTCCTTGAAAGTTTTCATCTTCAACAGAGCTACAAAACTCCAGCATTGCTTGATACCTCTCTTTCATATTGAACGCAAACCGGGATTTCAACTTGTGAAGACAGATTGGACATGTAAACATTGGACGATTGTTGGACTCCTCAAGATGGTTGCTTCCATTCATAGCACATGAAAAGAACACACAGTGTTGAAGGGCAAACAAATGGCATATCTCATGAGCCATAACCTGCAAAAACATAAAAAAAAAGAACATCAACAACTCTAAGCCCAGTCAGATACTCCAGCCGCATAAAAATATTTTCTCTATTCTACCTTTAATACCATTATACTCCCAGAAGTGACCAAGACAGAATTTCTCCTTACAATATCAATACAATATCAAGCAGACAAGTGATGAGAATAAAGAAAAATATCATTAGGGGATTATTAGTTGATCCAAATCCAAATCCTCTGAACTAACATCATACCAGTTGTATGCAAGACAGTAAGGAGAATTACCAACAAGATCTTGGGAGTGAAAGAATAAGTTTTGTTCAATTTGACAGCCACTCCCATCAAATGTTTAGTTATTTAATTTACCAACTGGAATTAAATTTGACTTCTGTCTTGTAGTTAAATAAGAAATAAAATGCTAAGCGAGTGAAGTTAGACTTTACATTACCCATCTCCCAAGGCAACTACCTACGGCCGACAGTACCTACTCACAGCTGCATGTGCAGAGTTCCTGTTAATGCAAAGGTGTGCATCTTATATGCACAAAAAATGAAAAGGAGGCACAGTTTTTGTCAATGTGCGTTCTTGGGATGCAGGGAAAAGGTTCGGACTAGTTAGGAGACTAGGTCTGGAGGGCCCTACCCAAGAATTACTGCGATCATCATGGCATGTCCTTTGACCTGCCATTTTGTCATTGTCAAGAGCATGTCTACTCAGAAGGGCTTATTCAATATATTTGATATTCGAAAGGGGAAACCTGGAAGTGATACAGATCTGGGGGATGATACCCAAGTGAAGAAACACAAATTTTGTCCTAAATGGTTGGAGGAGTTTCAATGGCTAAAATATAGTTCGACCGAAAAACAAATTGTTGTTAAGAAACACGAGCACACTTTATTCCAAAAGTAAAGCTCTATTAATAGCGTTAACACCTGGTCTTGGCTTTTGCCTCTCTGTTGGAAACTATAAAATCAATTTTAGTAAAAAGCAGGGAACCCCTAAAAAGCTAAAAGGATCCCCAACTTTTTGGAACTGGGGGTCCCAAGGACCCTTAACTATCAAAACTAATGGGAACTCTGAGGTGTTCATGTAAATTAAGAACTATCACGGTGAAATGTATTGGTTGAAGACCCAGTATCATCAAAAC